ATATTTTAGAAATGAGTCCCTTATCTGATGTGTTGTTGGAAAAGATTTTTTCCCATTCTGTAGGTTCCCTTTTTACTCTTTTGATGAAGTCTTGATGCACATAAGTTTTTAATTTTTAGTATGTCCCAATCATCTATTTTGTCTACTTTTGTTTGTGTGTTTTTCAAAATGTTTGGTAGTCTGTGTATTCCCTGTATTAGAGCCATCACATTTGTCCTGGTTTTTTCATTGATGGCCTTCATAATTCTGGGATTCACATTTAGATCTTTAATCCATGCTGAGTTGGTTTTTGTATAAGGCATGAGGTAAAGGTCTTGTTTCAATATTTTGCATATCACTTTCCGGTTCTGCCAGCACCATATGTTGAAGAGACAATCCCCTCCCCATGCAACATATTTAGGCATTTTGTCGAAAATCAGTTGGCTGTATATGGATGGATTGATTTCTGGATTCTCGTTTCTATTCCATTGATTGATGTATCTTTCATTGTACCAGTACCAAACTGTTTTGAACACTGTAGTTGTGTAATAAATTTTGAAATCGGGGAGTGAGAGGTTTCCAACCTTATTCTTCTTCTTAAGCAATGCTTTGCTTATCCTGGGCCTCTTTCCTTTCCATATAAAGTTTGTAATTGTTTTTTCCAGCTCTTTGAAGAATGTCATTGGAATCTGGACTGGGATTGCAGTATATGTGTAAATTGCTTTGGGCGGTATTGACATTTTCACAATGTTAAGTCTTCCTATCCAGGAGCATGGTACATTCTTCCATTTTTGTAGGTGTCTTGGTTTCTTGTAGTAGTGTTTTGTAGTTTTCTTTGTATAGGTCCTTTGTCTCTCTGGTTACATTTATTCCCAGATATTTCATCCTTTGGGCTGCCACTGTAAATGGTATTGCTTTCCTAATGTCCTTTTGAGCACTGTCATTGATGGTATAGAGGAATCCAACTGATTTTTTAATGTAGATCTTATATCCTGCCACTTTGCTGAATCTTCCAATGAGGTCTAGTAGCTTTTTTACTGAGTCTTTGGGGTTTTCTATGTATAGAATCATATCGCCTAGATATAGAGTTTTACTTCCTCTTTACCAATTTGGATGCCTTTAATTTACCTGTCTTGCCATATAGCTCTTGCTAAGACTTCCAGTACAATATTGAATAGGAATGGTGACAAAGGGCGTCCTTGTCTGGTTCCTGTTCACAGAAGGAAGACTTTCAATTTCTCTCCATTGAGAGTAATGTAGACTGTTGGTTTTGTATATATGTTTGCTCTATTCTTGACTTTTTAATTTAGTGTCATTTCCTTGAGACACATTTCCCAAATCACAATGATTGGAGCAAAGCCTAAAGTTGATTTTCTGGTTTTTTAGTATAGGTATTTACGAGTCGGGCTGCTAACTATCAGCTGATCCGTGGGAGAAAGATGAGGCTTTCTGCTCCCATAAAGATTTACAGCCTCGGAAACCCTGTGCAGGGTCACTATGAGTCGGAACCGACTCCACGGCACATAACAACAACAACAGTATAGGTATTTGAAGTGCTGGTGACGCTGTAGATGTACCAGACTGCTAACCACAGGTCGGCAGTTGAAACCCACCAGCTGGTTCACATGAGAAAGATGAGACCAGCCTTGGAAAGCCTATATAGAATCACTGTGAGTTGGAACTGATGCACCTGTTCCTAGCAACAACAACAACAATATAGATAGTCTGCCCAGAGGGCTGTTGTGAGTACTGACAGCACCTTTGTTGTTAAGTGCCACTTAGTTGGTTCTGACTCACTGTGACTCTGTATAGGCATTGTGAGGACTGGTTGGTAAGTTTGAACTGTCAGCCTTGCTGTTCAAACTGACCTTATGATCCAGTACTTATTCTATAGCTCCACACCAAGACTCCCCTCTTCCAAGGGGTAGCACACTGGTGATCCTAAAAAAATAGTTCTATTATCTTTTCATGCCATTTTTTTCTGAAAGTTTTTGAAGCCTCCTCATAAATAATAACAATTTTTAAAACCATTGCAGCACAAAATAGCTTTTTTAAGGGCTTGTATTAATTTGCCAAGCCCTTGTGGCACTGTAGGAAAAGTACTGGACTGCTAACCCCAAGAATGGTGGTTCAGACCCACTAACCACTCTACTGGAGAAAGATGAGACCTTCTGCTCCTGTAAAGATGTGTAGCCTTGGAATCCCTGTACAGAGACACTCTGAATTGGACTCTACTCAATGGCAGTGGGTTTATGAATTTGCCAGCAGGCCTGCAGTAATATATGAAGTTTCTTGTTTACTACCCTTGTCTTTCATTTCCTCCCATCCTTCTTCCCAGCATTTGATACTTAAAACATTTCTTTTAAAAATATCTTTGGCAGTTTAGGTGAGAACTCTGCTTCATTATTGTTTTAAGTTGTATTGCTTTAATAATTAGTGAAGAGCTCTGGTGTGGTGCTGTGGATTAATGCACCAGACTGCAAGGCCATTGAAACTGCAAGGTTGGTGGTTCAAGCTCACCAGCTGCTCCTCAGAAACCCTATACAGGGTCGCTATGGGTCAGAGTCGACTCAGCGACATTTAACAACAACAACAATTATTAGTGAGAGTGAGCCATTTTGTGTTCTGTACAAACCAGTCTGACTTCTCATTTGTGAAATGGTTTTAACTCTTTTTGGGACATTTAATATCTCTTCTCAGTTTATATGAACTACTTACAACATTGAATCATTTGATTCTTAATTATAATTGCTGGTATTTGTCCATTTATCTAATATTGTGTTATTACATCAAGTTTGGTTGTGCTTTTGCATGATATCCATATATCTCATTAAGATGAAAATAATTGAGGATAGAATTGTGATCGCTCTTCATGACAAGTTCTATGGGTGAAATTTTTGTTGCTGAGACTATGATGTTGTTGTTTAAGTGCCTCTGAGTCGGTTCTGACTCATAGTGACCCTGTATAGGGTTTCTGAGAAGTAGCTGGTGGGTTTGAACTGACAAACTTGTGTAGTAGTCCAGCACTCACCTTATAGCACCACACCAGGCCCCATGAGACTATAATATTGTTGTTGTTGTTAAATGCTGTCAAGTTAGTTCCAACTCATAACGATCCTGTATATGGTTTCCAAGGAGCTACTGGTGAGTTTGAACTGCTGACCTTGAGGTTCAAACTGACCTTGCAGTTCATTGCTTACGCTACAGCACCACTACACTAGGACTCCAGAGACTATACTATTACTTGTAAATTGTGATGGTCACTATTAATTTTCAGTCATTCTATCTCACTATTTTCTGTTTTATTAAAATTGCCCAAATTCCATGCTGCTGTTGTTCATGTTAAATGCTATCAAATAGATTCTGACTCATAGTAACCCTGTATACAGTTTCCAAGGAGTGGCTGGTGAACTTGATCCACCAGCCTTGCAGTTCAAACCAACTTTGCAGTCTAGTGCATTAACCCACAGTGCCATACCAGGGCTCCATCAATATGTTAAAAATTATTACTTTAAAATTATGGAATTATGAATTATTTTCATTTAAAAATACTCTTCTGTATTTTCTACTTTTCTACCTGAGATTTCTTATTACCAGAAAAAAAAAAAAAAAAAAAGTCAATGCCAGCCCAGTTAATTATGGGTGCAAAATGAGTTAGGAGGTCAGGCATGATTTAAGGAAACCTACTTATATGTAATATATAAAGGATCCCTGGTGGTGCCGTAGTTACAGCACCCCACTGCTACTGAAAGGTAGGCAGTTCGAACCCACCACCTGCTCGGCAGAGTCAGTGTGACAGTCTGTTTCCATAAAGGTGAGTCTTGCAAACCTGTGTGACAGTTCTCTACAGTTACTGTGACTCAGAGTCAACTGGATGCTGATGGGTTTGGTTTCAGTTGGGGTTTGATTTGTTAGTTACCTAGATGTCAATGCATTTTGATGCTTCTTATTGTTGTTAGGTGCTGTCCAGTTGACTGTGACTCGTAGTGACCCAACATGACAAAATGGAACTGCCCCTTATGGATTCCTAGACTATAATCTTCATGGGAGCAGGTGGCAATGTCTTCTTTCCTCCCATAGAGCGACTCATGAGTTCAAACTGCCAGTCGTTCAGTTAGCAGCTGAATGCTTAACTATTGGGTCACCAGGGTTCATCATTTTGATGCTAAGGAAACTTAAACATTGAGTCCCCATTATTTTATATATTTTTTAAAGAACATAACTTTTGTATTTCTTTTTTGGTGAATAATGATAATATATTGTAACTGTATTTTTCTACAGCAATGGACTTAAGAGTAGCAACAATTGTGAAAATGGCACAAGACCGGGCAGTGTTTCATTCTGTTGTTTATAATGTCGCTATGAGTTGGAACTGACTCAATGGCATCTAACAACAACAACATTTTCCTAAACTAGGGGTTTAGGACTTGGTATCTGACAAATGATTTTTTTCCCCCTTGATTTTTGATATTTTTATCTTAAAACCTTTCAAAGGAGCTACAAATAATACTAAAGTTTATTTGTATCCCTTATTCTAAGGAATTGCATTAGATCAGGATGATCCCATAGAATCGGAGGTCTGCTTGACCATCACCTTGCTTTCTAGGCAGGTTGCTTTTGGAAATTGCATTTGTCTTCTTGACCCCAGTAAGAGGCCACAACCCAGACACCATTTCACAGGTGTATTCACCCTTGTCTGGGACTGCACACAGATATAAAAATGTCAAAACAGGCGTCTGTACATCAAGACACAAAGAAACAACAGTCTCTGGGTTCTGTGCCTAAATTGCATCCGGCGGACGCTGGGAATAGCTCTTATTTCTTCTGGTGTGGTCAACACTTTTCTCTTGGAAATGGCACTTAGCTCATTTCAGAGCTCAAGAATTCTCTTCAGATTCCATTGTCAACATCTCACTGTGTATTTAAAGTATCAAAATCTCGATGAACATTATGATTGTTGAAGATTATATTTATCTATAAAACCATAATGTAGTCTTGTTTTCCCTTTTTCTTTTCTGTAGCTTTGGGCCAGATTATGTTGTATGTGGATGGGATGAATGGAGTAATAAACCACAATGAATCCATTCAGTGGCTGTACACTCTCATTGGGTCAAAGGTAAGAGAAACTTTTAGTTGAACTTTTTATTCCATTTACATATCATACACCTTCCCTTTTGTCCTCCACTGTGAGATGAAACCATTCTGTAGAAAGAAATCATACTTAGTTTGTCTCAAGGCTTGTCTCAATGCAAATGAGGTTTGCTACCTTGTAGTTTTTAAAACATACATTTTAAAGATACCAAGTCCTAAACCCTTAGTTAGGAAAAAATGTGGTGTTGTTGTTGTTAGGTATCATTGAGTTGGTTCCAACTCATAGTGACATTATGTTGTTGTTGTTGTTAAGTGCCATCGAGTCGGTTCCGACCCACAGCGACCCTGTACAGGGTTTCCGAGGGTGTAAATCTTTAC